AAGAAAAGTTGGAAAGCAATTAAAGGTGTTCCAGTCTTATTTTTATTTATTTTTAGTTCAGATTAGAAGATTATTATGTTCGAGTTCTGCTCCTCCTGTTGAGTTTGATGTATTTTGTTCTTTAACCACTAGAAAAATGATCTACAAATAAGTAAAAATGTCTTAAATTAAATGTATTTGAGTAGGTAAATGAGATAGTTTGCCAATGTAAAGAGTATTTTTACTTTTAGAATAAGATAATTAGATAAAATGCACTTAAAATAAGACAATGCAATTGTGTTTTCTTATTTTAAATGTAAATTCTCTTGTTCCATTGGCAAAATGTCTTTTACCTCCTCAATCCAAGAACAAAAACACTTATTTTAAGAAAAAATTACTTATTTAGACTTTGATTTTTTTCCAGTGTACAGTAGTAGCCATTCAAAATTTCCCCACTTTCCTTGATGGGCCTTTGGCTGGTCTCCTAAGATTCCATTTTTAAACATCAATCTTTGTACTAAAATATTATTTTTGTTATGTGTTAGGTTTACTCAATGATGATTATAAAATTAATGTGTGCTTATGAAACATTTTTGCGAGGGGATGCTCCACTTCTGTCTCATGTTTTAGTCAGGAGACCATCCTGCCTTGTCATTCTGATGGAGCATTCTGTCTTCATGAACTGATCAATTGTTCTGTCAGAACAATACTCTGTTTGTAACCATGTGTCATGTTCTGTTAATAAAATGCTCTGCGGAGGAGATCCAGTGGGAGACAGTGTGGTTGAGTCTGGGGTTCAACTGTCTCTCCCTCCTGCAGGAATTGTATCCATAATTGTGTATTTCAGTTCTTCTTNCTGCAGGAATTGTATCCATAATTGTGTATTTCAGTTCTTCTTTTGCAAAAACCTACATTTTTATGAACCCGACATTATGATTAGAGGACATTAAAATCTAAAGAGAAGCATCATCTCCTGGTCAGACCCTGCAATTCAGTGAAAGTGTGGAGTCAGAGTAAAAAATATGCACGCCCAGTAGAAGGAGGGGGTCATTTCACTGGCTGGAAATTGGCTGTTTGACTGGGAAGGACCATTTCGAATGGCTTCTACATCCACAGAACGCATAGGACGCTTTAAAATTCACAGCCTCATACTGCGAAAATACGGCTACTATCCACCATTACAACAGCAGCCTAGACACTCCCATGGGTTAAAAAACAGCGGCTGTGCTAAATTATGCTTTTTTCTTTAGGCATTTTTTATTTTATTTTTTTGTTGGCCTATTAATTCTCTTATTTTTATCTAGTGAAGCACACATGTAACCTTATAGAATGTTTTGTAACAAAAATACCTTCATGTTTCATTTTGGTTCAGTTTATTTATTTTGCTCCGATTTGCCCCACATCATCTCAAGGCACTTTACAGAGACAGACGGATCAGATGCTACAGACAGATTGGAGAAAGGTTTTCTATCTAAGAAAACCCAGATGAGTTTATTGATTCACTGACTTTCCAAACTTCACTCCTGATGTGACTGATTGTAGCCATGATTTTACAGTAATATCAGCAAACTTCTTAATGTCTTTGTGACAGATACAACGACACCCCTTCAGGGAGCTAGATCAGCTTGTTTTCACAGCAGAAAGGGGGCTAACTCAATAATAAGCACGCTGTCTTAATTTTAAAGCTGAGTTTAAAAAGTCCACAAAACACATGAACAATAAAATGATAATTATTTGATGGGCACTGTTCAAAAACAGGCTGATAAAATAGTTTTTATTAACAATTTTGGTAACAACATTCACAGCTTCTATTTCCTATCTCTGCGCATTTCTTTTTGACTCTTAAACCTCCTATATGGCCTATGAAAATAAAGGATAGATAATAAGAGACACTTTTTTAAAAATCTTATTTCAGATGTGGTTCACAACAAAAAATGCGTTCTAAAAAATAAGAAAAAAATATAGTGTTTTAAGTGAATTATTGCTTATTTTGAGCCAAATAATCTGCCAGTGCAGCAAGAATGAGACTTGGTAAGATTTCTTAAAACAAGAACATAATATCCAAGTAGTAAGCATCCAAAAAAACTTAAATCAAGTATAAAAATCTTTTTTTTCTTTTGCTCGTTAAGATTTAAGCAATGTATTCTCATTTATTAGTCATTATTGCTTAGAATTAAATGTCCTCTAACCAATTATTGCTCAAAATAAGCAAACAGGCTTAAAAACAAGGCAAATGTACTTGATAGTAGTTCATTTAAAGGACTAAAACTAGTCTGTTTTTCTTAGCTAGAATTAATTTCATTATTTAGGTGTACGCTGCAAAAAAGGAAAATCTATACAAGTTTAATAAACTTGAATTCAGCATTTTGGTCTTATTACACGTGTTTTTCAATGTATTTTCTTAGTAAGACTGAATATTGTTACGATTATTTGATTTGTTTTAAGAAAATTAATTTTTTTCATCCTAACTAGATAATACAACTAATTCTGAGCAGCTTTTTTCTTAAAATAGCTCACATAACGGACTGAGTCGTGTTAACATTTAGACTGTGCATTTTTACTTGTTTCAACACAAAAAACAATCCATATTACCCTGTTTTAAGAACTGACCCCATCTCATTAAGATATTCCAGCTAATCAAATCTGATTGCATTAATTCTAGCTAAGAAAAACAGACTAGTTTAAAGCCTTTAAATTAACTGGTATCAAGTACATTTGCCTTGTTTTTAAGCCTGTTGTATGCTTGTTTTGAGCAATAATTGGTTAGAGGACATTTAATTCTAAGCAATAATGACTAATAAATGAGAATAAATTGCTTAAATCTTAACGAGTAAAAGAAAAAATAGATTTTTATACTTGATTTAAGTTTTTTTGGATGCTTACTTCTCGGATATTATGTTCTTGTTTTAAGAAATCTTACCAAGTCTCATTTGCTTGCTGCACTGGCAGATTATTTTGCTAAAAATAAGCAATAATTCACTTAAAACACTATATTTTTTTCTTATTTTTTAGAAGGCATTTTTTGTTGAGTAGTGAAAGTATGGGAAAAATACACTTGACAAAAACATTTTTTTTTAATAATATTTTAGCAGAAATGTCACAGAATTACGCGAAATACACGGTCAGTCCGCAATGTGTGCAATTTTAAGAAGAAAAAAGCTGCTCAGAATTAGTTTTATTATCTAGTTAGGATTAGAAAAATGAATTTTCCTAAAACAAGTCAAATAATCTTAACAATATTCAGTCTTACTAAGAAAATACACTGAAAAACAAGGGTTATGAGACCAAAATTCTGAATTCAAGTTTATTAAACTTGATAGATTTTCCTTTTTTGTAGTGTTGTTTTGGAACAAAGATTGTATATAATTGAAACCAACTCAAATATGGAACCCAGCCTGAAGTTCCTATTGAAATTATACATTTTCCCTTAACCTAGCAGTTATTTGGAGATTAGTTTAGACTTTTTTCTTGTGCCTGAGTTTCCCACAGTAGAAGGTAAGAACTTTTGCAAAACAAACACCAGCAGCAGTAAGAAAACCAGTTCGACAAGAAAAGTAAAAACAAAACTCCAGAGTAGGAGGGAGCGGCGATATCAGATTTAGTGTAGGTGTTGCTTCACTCTTAACCTGCTTTATAGAGCTTTAGTGTGCTCAAATCAGAACATGAGCTTGATATCAATTTTATAAACTTACCCTGTATCCCTTTGTTTTTGTTGTTGTGCAACGAAAAGATATTTTGCCAACTTAAACAAGCATCATGGGACGAGGTGAGAGTGAGGACTGGGATTATGAGCCTAAGGAGACAAGGACAACTCAGCCGAAGAAACACGAGGACAAAGATGACAAAAGCTCAGAGGGTGGAGGCTGTCCAAAGTGCTGCTTGAGGACCAGGGACTGTCTTATGAGCGCAGAATGTGGCAGGGCGTTGCAAATCTCCAGTGTTGTGGCTTTCTGTGGAATGTGCATCAGAGCATGGACATGTAAGTCTGAACTTTAGAAAATCTGAGCAGTATTTTCCTGTTATGTGTCACTGAAGACTTTAAGAAAAGAATTCTAAAAGTTTTGTGCTCTGATTAAAATTTAAATGAAAGTCTTTCTTGGCAGAGTTTTAAACAAATTTGATCAGTGGCTTTCTTGTAGATAACTTTTTTATCCCAAATTTTTAAGGAAGCATGTTCTCAAATATGGAATGAAAACTTTATTAATCTTAATTTGGTTTTTTGTTGTTTTTTTGTTACAGGATAAATTCTACGGGATCAAGACCTTCAGAACTTCCATTTAAATTATGAAGGATCATTCAGTCTTCTGTTTAAGACACTTTTTCAGATAATAAATAATATAGTTTAACTTTATTTTGCTCTTAACTTTAGCAGGTATTTAAAAAATAAATGTGTGCAGTATTTTTACTAAAAGTGCTTCTTAATTTGATGCTGAGCTAAATTTGCATCCTTTCATCAAACCATGGAGACAAGCTAGATATTTGTTGATGTTTTAACTACCTTGTATTATAGTCTCTTAACTTTGTTTATGTTTGTAACGTGGTTGTTTCTGTATCTCTATCTATAAAACCTAACTTTGAATAATCTTGTATTTTTATTTATTGCAATTAACCAGAAGATAGAAAAAGCTTATTTTAACATCTATTAAACAAAGAATAAATGTTCATATGTTTAAAGAGAATTATTTAAGTTATTTTTCCAAAGACTTGGGTCAAATGTCAGAGATAAAATATTACAAAATAAAGTAAAATTATTGTTCTTGAAAAGCCAAGGTTGTCATGGTTTTGGTTATATTGTGCTTTACTTTGCTCTATGTCTCCTAGTTTTATTGGTTTAATTCCTTTTTGTTGTAATTTCTAGATTTATGTTAGTTCTCATGTTTTTCTGTTGTCCTCTGCTGCCCTCTTGTGTGTGTGTGTTTTCCTTTCCCCTTGGTTCCCTCGTTGTCTCCTCTCACACCTGCTCCTTGTCAGCTTGTTAGCCCTCCCTTTGTCTCTGTCAGCTATATATGCTCTCCCTTTGCTCTCACTCTTTGTTGGTTCCTTGTTGCTGGTCCTGTCGTCGCCGTTGTCCTCTCACCTCGTCTCTCCCTGGCTCCTTGTGCGTGTTTCCCTTGATGTCTCCGTGGTTCTGGTCTGAGTTACATATTAGTTGGATTTTGCCTCTGTTATTAGTGTTTTTTCATTAAAACTACAAGAATTCACCTCAGCCTCTCTGCCTCTGCATTTTGGGTCCTCTTAACTACAACCAAGACAAGACAAAGGTGGACCCTGAACAGGTCGCCAGTCTATTTCAGGGCAACTCAGAGACGTAAAACCATGCATATACCCTCATACCTGAGGGCAATTTAGAGACACCAGTTAAAGGCATAGAGGACGAACGGGTGGATCATCTAAATAAGTGGTCCTTCGAGTCGTCAATCATTCTGGTAAT